GTGGGGCTGGCCTCGGCCCCGGCATCTTTTTTTTTTTTTTTTTTCTGCCACTGCGGTTCCTTTCAAAGCCGTCCGCCTCCCCCCCCCCTCACGCCCGCTTGCCTTAAGCTCTGGCTGCGAGTAAAGCGTCTTCATGCACCCCAAGGATGTCCGGGAAGCATTATAAGGGCCCTGAAGTCAGTTGTTGCATCAAATATTTTATATTTGGCTTCAACGTCATTTTCTGGGTAAGTGGAAACATTAATAATCATTTAGATTTTGCATGGTAATTCTCTCATATAGTTCTAATAGAACATTAAACAGGAGGCATTTCGGCTTGCGTGGACTTAAACCCCCCCCCCAACATAATTTACAGTTGTTTCTATATATGTGTGCGTCTTTGCCTGGTCACTACAGTACAGAGGAACTCCCAACAATTGTGTATAGGATTCTCTTCCCTTCGTTTGCAGTCATAGCTTTCGGGGTCGCCTTCCTCTCCACTTTCCCCCAGAGCTTCCTTTAAAAAAAGTCTCTGTATTAGAACGATATTTGTATACATATTTTTTCTTTCTTACCTTAAATGCGTCTTGGTGTCAGGTGTAAATCTTTCAACCTTCCCTCCCTCGTTGTCTTTATTCGGATGAAGTCTTCTTATAGCCCTGCATTTGGAAAGCTGGGAACCATGTAGTTGGAGGGTTACACAATGACTGTAGGCACGAAGCGGGTTTGTTATTTTGGTTCTCTTCTCATGCAGAAGCAGCAGCAGGGAGGGGAACAGTGCAATGCTAGCAGCTGCAAAATACAAAAACAAATTAAGAGAATCACTTGCTTGCAACTGTCCCTATATGATCATCTTTTCTTGTGTCACCCTCTGGGCCCTTTTAAAGTGTGTTGATGTCCACATTATGGCACTTGGAACTGTATTATTCCACTTGATTATTACATCGCTGTGTGATTGATACATCACTGTGCTCTTTCCATTGCTTTTGTCACTGCCTTTTTTTATTCCAAAAAGCTTTGAATGCACCTTAATTTTTTTTTTAATCTCAACACAGTCTTGTTTTTATTACCTGTTATATGGGAAGATGAGGAAAAACAGTAGAAAATTATTTCAATAAACATGGGTCTTCAAGAGGAATGGAATTAACTGCACAAACGATTGTTATGGAAACAAGAATATAGATTGATAATATGCATACTGGAAGCAACTGGATAGTCCTTGTTAATAGTATGGTATTTGAATCAACAGAGTGATATTGAATTAAATTTGGTTGTGGTCAACACATTATTTAAATAAATGGATTCCCTGTTAATGGAGGCATAGATACACAAGTGTACAGGTTGGGAAAAATCAGGAAGTGTAAAGGGAAAGTGTACTTATCTCTGCTGAAAGCAGGTTTAGATAAAGTCTCCAGCTTTTGTGGGGAAATGTGTTATAAGCCATTCTGACCTGTTACTCTGTGGAAGGGAAGAAAGTGTTGGCCATCTTTTTCTTGTGGTAATTGAAGCTCTATTCTAACATCTGCTATCCTGCTTAAAAGCTAATGGAGATATGGCCTGAGGCCTAGAAGAACAAGGTGTTAATGTTGCTGTAGACTACCTGCCACCTGAAGAGAACATGCATACAACAAAAATGAGCTCTAGCCCATAAATGCTTATGCTCTGATAAATGGGCGAAATCCTTGGTATTGTAAGGTATCTCTAGTAGTTGATTGCTCATGACCTTTTCTGAGAAAGTAAAGGAGAAGGCCACCATGAGTGCTCTTTAGAAAATTGAAAACCAAGTCTAGGGTGGAGGAATATGTAGTATGGGTGGGGCCTCTGTAGCCTTGTGTTTAGTACAAAAGATTTTTCAGAGGGCTTCCACATGCTTACAGATCTTTTTAGGTACAGGGTACAGACTTGTTTAAAAGAAGTCTTAGCTATGCTATCAGTTAGATTAAAATGAATTAGTACTGCATTTCTGACATTAGGAGCAAAAGGAAAATATCTAATGGTCATGCTGGCAGATGTATTGTAGTCTTAACACATGAGAGTTGTAGTTCAGCATATTGGAAGACTTCAGGTTGTGGAAGGCTCTGCTAAATGGAACATTTACTTTGTTTTTAGGAGACAGATGGATGCATTATGGGCTCTGCGCTTCCCTCTTCCCTCTACATTTTAACAGATAAAGGAAACCCCCTCCCCCTGTTTCTGATAAGGATAAACACAATTAAAACTTATCTTTACAGTACATACCTTCTAGAGATAATTTGTTCTTCCATGGAATAGCATAGTTCTGTTGATTCTTCCCTATTTCTAATTCATATTTGTGTTATTTGTCTGTGATGTGAATTTGGTATGGTTGTTCAGCTGTCCATAATCTTGGTTTTAGAGGTGGTGTGTGTGTGTATATATATAGGAAGGTGAATGAAATGATTACAAATAGAAAACAGTGCATCATATGGCCTTTCTTGATGGACCATATTATGGGTTCTAAAATATATCTTTGTGAGGTGTAAGGAAGGCCAATACTGAAAAGCGTAATTCAATGCATTTATGAAAAAAATGAAACATTTCACTATAAAGGCACAACTAGATGGGGAAATTTTTAAGAAAACTGGGAGAATTACTGAGCATGAATTACAGCTGGCAACCAATTGTAAGTATCTAATCTGGCATGATGTTATGTAGAGACTGGAACATCAGTTCCCCAGTTTAATTGCTGTGATGTCATGGAAACAGATCAGTTTAAGGTTAGAACTTACTCTTAATGCTTTGTGCACATCAGGAGTTTGTTCTAGAGGTAATGAACAACTTAAACAATATAAAAATTGCCTGCACATGTTCAATTGTTTATATACGCTTGGCTTAGCTTAATTAAATTGTCTGAATAAGTTTGGAGTTTTTGGTAGAAAACCAGTTGGTGCAAGATTATTTTTGCTGTTGGGTGTGAAAGAGAGGTTGTGAAAGCAAGGGAAATAAAAATGGAAAACTTACTTGGAACACAATGTCTAGGTGTTTAGACAGGTATCTGAGGGTACAACTACATTGGAGAGCCTAACTAGAATGATTTGGCTTTCCTGTGGTTTGATTCACAGTCTATACTATGTTTGAAATAGTAATCAGTACTTACATGGGGCTGTGGATTGATTTGGGAGTTTACCATTCATACTATTTGAGATATGAGTCATGTTTCAGCCCTGCTTCCTTCTCTCCTTCCTCTTGATTCTGCTTTTGCCAATACTTCCCTCATCTGGTCCCACTTCTGCTGATCCTTCAGTGATTTGCAGTGAAGCTGCTTTCTCATTTAAAGCAGCTACTATATATTTCAAAAATGTTTCTATAGAAAAATAACATGGAAAAGTACTCAGCAATCTAATAACACAGAACATCAAAAGTCTGAACAGTAATTTTGCAAAATATAAAACTTACGACTTATGACCATAATCCATTCCAGAAGATGGACATAACTCGAAACGGTCATAAGTCGAAGCACCATTTCCCATAAGAATGCATTGAAATGCAATTAATCCGTTCTGGCCGAAGAAAAAAATCATTAAAAAATCATTGCAAGACTCATTGGAATCCCTTCTGGCTGAAGGGGGGGGGGAGAGAAGCAATCAAGTGTGCAAGACCCATTGGAAATGCACAGAAAACAAATGGAGCAGATTGGAAATGCACAGAAAACAAAGGGGGCAGGTTGGAAATGCAAAGAAAACAAAGGAAAAAGCAAGGGAAGCATGCAGGACCCATAGGAAATGGGGACCCCCCCCAAAAGCAACCACCCCCCAAGACCCATCAAAAATGGGGGGAAAACCCCAAAAGCAAACAACCCCCCGAGACCCATTGCAGCACAGAAACATAACCCCCAGCCCAAAACCACACTACAAAAACACCCAGAACAGTTTTTAAAAAGCAGAAAACAGAACCTTAGCAGGCAGCCCGAAGCCTCTCTGCAAGCACACACACATGCTCACTGAGAAGTAGAAGCGACACAGTCCTAAGCCTCCTCCAACGCACACTCTCTAACTGCTGGGGCAAAAGAGCTACTGTACAAAGAAGCAGCCTTGTCGCCACCTACAGTTAGAAGTTTGAATTTCCTGCCATTTCCCCCTGCCTTTTTCTGTTCGTAAGTGGAAGCTCCGGTCGCAAGTAGAAGCAAAATTTTGTGGCCGGAGCTGGTTGTAACTCAAAATGGTCGTAAGGACATTCGTAAGTCCAGGCACCACTTTATGTTATAATTCACATGTCAGAATGATTCCATAAGGTGTGCAAATCATGCTGCTTATATACTGCTTGATAGTGCTTAAAGCACTCTCAGGGTGGTTTACAAGTTATGCAGGCTACAGATTGCCCCCACAGTGAGCTGGGATCTCATTTTACCAACCTAAGAAGGATGGAAGGCTGAGTGAACCTTGAGCTAGCTACCTGAGATTGAATCCTGGGTTGTGAGCAGAGTTTGACTGCAGTACAGCAGTTTAACCACTGTGCCACAAGGCTCTTCCACAACAGAGAACATTCATAATAGGGATCTCCACAACCTTACCTTTCCCATTTGTTATTCCTTCTTATTTTCAAGTAACATGTGCAGGAATTGCCTCATTTCTTGTCACATATGGTTTTGAACCATACAGATTGCCAAGAGTGCTTTGGTGTGTAGTTGAGACATAAATGTTGAAATTGCAGATTCTGAAATAACACCTGCAAAAGTAGGGTTTATTTTAACAGATGGATTGTTTAATCCTAACCTGAAATGTTTATGTGAATTTCACATTTTACGGAAAGCCAGGGACAACTAAGAAATAAGTATTCTAGTTTTTTAGAAATTTGATTCTTGCACCATGTTAATCTGTTGATATATGGTTGCATTGTAGAAAGTGGGTGGAACAGGAAAAGTGAAGTGGTGGTTGTGGAGACTCAAATCCTTTTTTGGTTCTTAAACTCCCATGGCAATGAAAAAAAAATTGACTTCACAGGTGTCTTTTACAAATTTTCATGTTCTTATTTTCTAGTTCTAACATTATGGCGAGAGGAGAGGGAGGAGAAATGATCCAGGTAGAATACACTGGTGACAGCAAAAATGTTTAAATATAGTTGTAAATCTGCTAGTCCAGTTCAAAAAGTAAAATATTCATCAGAAGTCATTCACATGCTGGTGTAAATTACAGGGAAGCTGAAAGATGACATTAGTTCTGTATATGAAGACAGGGTAGCAATATTTAGCAGACTTAAATTTTTAAGTGTTAAATTAAAGGTATAAAGATAT